TAATGCAGGGTTGTATGCGGTGTGTATGTTTGTTACATAGTGAAAAAACTTACCAAAGGAGAAGAGATTGAATAAAGGTTAGTAGCAAGACAGTTGACTGAGTTCCGAGCTAAAATGGTTTCATTGTTTCTCAACCATCCAAATTCTTGGAGTGAAGAAAATCTAAAAATACATAGGGAATTGAAGAAAAAAATGCGGACAAATAACAAAGTTATGATTTTTGTGTATTTTAAAAGTGAACATTAATGGATCATAAGATATGAATTTAGATATTTTGTTTATAAAACATTGTTATATGGTGAATGCTAATTGTCCAGATTATTCAATTTTACAGGTGTTTATTCCTTGTTGAGTAATTGTGTGTGATTACACTGTGTATATATTCTCATTGTTGACTGTGTTCTTCTAATAGTGTAATAAAGAAAGTGTAATAATGTAACAAATAGAGTGTAGCACTCTAAACAAAAGTAGTGTACCAAAAATAGTGTAACACTGTAACAAAAAAAGTATAACAATATTAAAAAGACAGTGATCAGTTGTTTTGCGAATATGGTAATAATAGCAATATAGAGCTAGTTGTGTGTATGTTAATGATACACTATTCTTGATACACTATTTTGGATACACTGTTCTTGATACACTATTCCAACAGTGTGTAAATTCACTATGCAGGATCAGTGTGGGTTGTATATAGCATAATCCATCATATGTTACAGCAAATATATATATAACTTACAATGTGAAAATGTCACTAAAACAAACAAACCCAAAAAAAGATTGTAAAACAAATTGTAATAAACTTAAAACGGTGAACAATGCCATTAAATGATAGCATTACTAAATTTACTATGACTCATTACAAGATTTCATGTTGTCATTGCCTAAACACAACACCGGCCACAATGAATTCGCCAAATGAGTTCTCCCCTAGACCGAATTCTGTGATTTTTTAGTCGATCAGGTTGCTTCTTGATAGATGGTGGCAAAATATTAACATCCAGCTGCGAACTTTCAGCACGATATATAGTTGGAATTGGATAATTGAGTTCAGAATATGACTTCTTGTATATGCGCGCATGATAGTAATAATCAACAAATTCGTACATATTCTGCCCACTCTTTCATATTACCGATACCGCATGTGAACAAGAAAACCCATTTTTTTGTCATTGACAACATGAACACGTGTCATTCTTAATATCAACAGTCACCGAAGGATATAACATCACTTCGTACACTTAGTTATTTGAAACCCGTACAGTCTAGGATCTCCCCTCATCAAATGCAGTTTGTAATCTGGAAGATATACTGGGGCATAAATTCTCATTCCTCTCCAAAACTATTTTCATCTTTCGGCCAATTTGATCCATTATTTGTCCCCTAATAGTATCAACCATGCTAGTATTAGGTAAATGCCGAACATTAGCACACATCTCACCGTAATGCTTTCCTGTAAAATGAGCATTTGTCCAATGTTCAAATGAAAGATTGAACAGGAACCTATTCACATTAGAACCACCTTCACGACAAAAAGATTCAATCTTCTCATTAAAAAATAATTGTGTTGGTGCATAAGCACACTCATGTAGCAAAATCACCACGTGTTCTCAAAATACATTGATAAAACAAGTACTACTTAATTTATCCCACAAATTAGGTTTCAAATGCTGCAAGCAAAATGCATGATGAGCATTTGAAAAAACTTTCGACATTGTCTCTAACAGACCCAAGTTACGATTAGATACAAATGTAATAACCCGAGATTGATTCAATATCTTAAATAACTGTTCTAAAAATCAAAACCAGTTTGATTCATTTTCCAAATCAACCACAACAAATGTCAAATGAAACAAATCTAAAATAAACCACAAAATTATTCGTGAAAATTAAAATAAAAAACAGTGTACCATACATTGTTGTACTATGTTTAAACACTGTTAACAATGTAACAAAGACAATGTAACACAAAGATTACATTTTAACATAACCACGAAATTCATCACTCCAAAAACTGTATTAAATTTTACCTTGGTTGCCATCTTTTGATGTTGCCGATAGAAGATTACCTCTATAACTGTCTTTTAAAAATGTGTCATCCAAAAAAAGTAGTGGATGATAATAATTAAAACCTTGAATACAACTCTTAAAAGAAACAATCAACCTTTTGAAACAGTTGTTATCATGATCACAATTTAACACAATATGACTGTCCAGATTAGTATGATTTGCTACATCGCATACCAACGTAATTGTTGGTACGATAACGAGTGATCCCCAAACAACATACATTTTTCTTTCTCAACTTCTTCCCATGTTTTTTCATAAGATATAGTAAGTTTATAATCAGAAAAAAAAAATCAGAAACTACCTTTGTTGGATGCATTGTGGTATGCCCACAAATACGATCAATAATCAAATTTGCAATCAATTTAGAACTCATCCTCTTGTTATCTATCATTCATAGATCCACACCACAATTGTGTTCGTTGCCCAATTTCCTAATATAAAAAAAATCAGTAACTTTCTCCATTGTTGTATTGATATACCACCCACAACCAAAAGAATACTTAAAAGAACACTCAACAATAACCCTTGATTTACAATTCTTTACATAATTAAATTCAAAACCATTCTCAATCGAGTATTTACAAAATATTTTCCGAAACTGTAATACACCACCAAATTTCTGTTCTATGTGTCGTATTTCATTACTCCATCCAGATGTTTGAAGAACTTTCTCATTATGACCAATAAAATTGGGTAACGAATCTACTTCACAGACAACAACATCACCTATGTTTACATCATGCAATGAATCATTATCATCCACCGACCCGCCCCCAACATATTCCACAAACACCTTAACTTCATCGTAATTTCCTGGGAAACTCCATTTCAATTCAATCAAATTCTTCAAATTCGCATCGTTGCGCAACATGCAAGTAAGGTGACCAGGTATAGAATATGATAATTAGACTGACAAATTAAACAACTCCTCCCAAGTCTCGCAGACTTCACGAATAAGTTTCGATATATTTGAATTAGCAGATACTTTGAATATTGAGGTAGCATTACCATATGTACATAATAGCAATACCGTTTCCTCCATTGTCAAAATCTCTCAAACTATTAAAAGAATAGACATAATGAAACACAAAATAAAAACATATATGTAAAGAAATATATATTGAAAACATATATACATTAACATATTTAAACTATAAGAGGTTAACATACTAGAGACATGAAATCAAACCTTGTAATTGCTGTTATGTAAATATAATGAAGACAAACAAACTTAAGGCTTGCAGCGTTTTGTCTGCCCAGCAGAAAAAGACGAATACACTAAAAATGACAGGGTGTCAAAATTTGAAATTCAAACAAAGTGATATATCCTAAAATAAATGGAATATTAAAATAATTCCATAAAATTAGGGGATGTATAATACATAAATATAATTTAAAAATAAAATTATTTTTCAAAAAAAATACGCATGAATCAAAGGAATACAAAAATGTCACAAGAAAATTTAAAAATTTCAATTAATGTACTTGGACACAAATAAGTATCAAAATTAAGGATTTTTTTACTCTATATTTTTTTTTCTATGTACTTTTTACAATTAACTCCAATTTGGTATATCTCTTCCAATTTTTCCTAACTTTTTTAAAAAAAAGTAAAACACAAGAGTTGAGTTAGGCCTGGGCCAGAGTCCAGGCCAATGCCTCCTCCGGCCCATGACTACTTCTATTCAGTACCAGAGGAGCTTTTACCCATTCTTGGGAGGGGATCATCAACTAAATTTAAGTCTTGGGAAGATAGTGGCCATGACATTAGTTTGATGGTAAAACCCTCGAGTTTAGGGCAGATGGTCATTCCCAAAATCAACCATAACCACGGATATATGGGTATTTTTTTTTTAAGCTTGTGAATTTTTTAAAAAGCGACAATATTAGTTATCATTTCATAACTTGGTATTTTTAAAATTTTTTTTGCTGTAACGATTTGTGTAAAGTGCTTGTCTTATAACTCTAATTCCTGGATTCGTCCGTGCCAAAAATACACATCGGACGATTAGTTTTATACCCTAGTCCATTGGTCTAAGCATTTTTCTTTAGAAAAGAAGCAACCTTAAATCCAGTTGTAATTTTTTTTCAATGATGATTGCAACAAATTAAAGACAGATACATGGATGTCCTTCCAGGCTGGAAACACAGAACAAAAATGAACCATAACTAGAACCATACCTTCCACCACCAACACTAGCATTATTGGCACAAGAAGTTGGTAGTCTTTAGTCTTGTATATGACCATATCAATGGATGGTAACCCACCTCTCTACCTCCTTTACCAATGGAAAGAGACCTGTCTCTCTCCTCTCTCTTTCTCTCTCTATATATATAAAGCAAATACAAAAATTACGATCATTAATTTCAATCTGATTAGAAATTTCAAACCCAAAAAGAAAAAGGAAAGGAAGAAAGGTAGTTCAAGCAATGATGCATGTAATCATGGCTGTAAGTCAAATTAGAACACTCTGGACCAGCCAACATGATTAATACAAAGGTCAAATCCAACTACAAAGTCTTCAATACCAATTTGTATTTGTTTACATAAGAATCCTATGACCTGCAATAAAATCCCCTGAAAAGGAAAAAAAAAAAAAAGAACAAACGAAAAACCAAATGCAACAACAAAGTCTTCAATCACAATTACATTGTCTACAGTACAATTCTATGGCCTGCAATAAAATCTAAAATTTCTATTTCTATTACAAACATACAAAAATATAACCCCCCTCCCCCATCCCACCCCAAAAATAAAATAAAAAACACGCAAAGTCTTCAACATCAATTACAATTGTTTACTTAGCAATCCTAAGGCTTGTAATAAAATTTAAAATCTCTATTTATATATCATAAAAATACAAAAAATATGGATAAACTACCCCCCCCCCCCCCCTCCCCCCAAAAAAAACCAAAAAAAGTCAGTTCTTGCTTTATGGCTCCAAATGAATTGGTAGAACTGCACTTCTTGATCCTCTACCATACCCAAATGAAAAGAATGATCTTCTGACTCTGCTACTGCTACCTTCACTGGAGCTAACCTCGTTTACAACACTGTTCTGCTCCATAATAATCTCTTGAACTGCTAAATAAAGCTGCTTATCAGAGGCTGAGTCCATGGAAAATGATCTCCTTATGGGTTGTACTGCAAATTGATCATCTTTCTCCCTCATATCAATACATTCATGACTCAATTTTTTCATTTTCTTCTGCACAACTCTTGGTTCCAACTTTCTTGGTGGAGGACTAATTGATGGCAGTGATAATAATTCTCCTGAGTCCAATCTTTCTTGCACTCTAAGCAATGTTTGATCATTAGAATTGTGATCACCTAATTCAATCACAACATAATCTTCATCCCGGCCTGTGAAATTATCGGTGTATCGGGTTTGATCTTCAGGAGAAGAAGCTATTGGACCAATGGTTTGATCCAATTGGAACCTTGTTGTTGATGAAATGCTCCTTCTACAAAGTGGGCAATTGGCATTGGTTTGAAGCCAAATATCAATACAATCTATATGAAACACATGCCTACAATTTGGTATTATTCTTAGTTTCTCTCCTTCTTGAAACTCATTCAAGCAAACTGAGCAGTCACAGAAGCTCCTTTCTCCCAAATTTTCTTTGGAACCTTTCTGGAATTGAATTATTGGGATTGAACGAATCACTGCCTCGTCTAGTCCTCGATTTTCGATTGCTGGAGAGTAAACCATTAGAGAGTTTTCGACAAGTCGTCTTCGAGAGAATGAAAAACGCCTTAGAAGATCGATTCGATGCCAATTTAAGCAGCATTTGATGACAAAGATGTAGTAGCTAACTAGCAAGAAAGCAGTGGCCAAAATGCCAATAATGGCCACTGCTATGATGGGAAAACTGTTATGGGAAGAATGTAAACGTGGGCCAAAGATTGAGTTCGTTGGGCTTTTGATGGGAGAGAGAGCTTGTGATCCATGGGTATTGTAGTTTTGTAAATTCACTAGATCCATGAAAAGGTGTTGGAAAAGTGGCTCAGAGATGGCTTAGTTTGGATCTTGAAACCTCATGAACATGAGAGAGAGAGAGAGAGAGAGAGAGGGGTATTAATGAAGATGGGTCATTCCAAGTTCACAACCAGTGCGCAAATCCTCATTCAACTGATGAAGATTGTATTCAAAAGAAGGCATTGGGGACATGAACTTGGCAAAAACCATGGACGAGAGAGAGAGAGAGAGAGAGAGAGAGCTTAGGAGGATTAAATGTGGGTACTATTGAAGGGGGACATGAAAAAGTTTGGGATTGAATGAAAAGGTTCTGAAACCTTTCTTTAAGGAGAGAAACTCAGAAAGACCGGGGAAGTTTTAAGGGTTGGAGTACGTAGTTGGTGAATATCTCGCCGTCCAATGAGAAAAAAACTTGGTTGGCAAGACTATAATTAAGTCATTTTCATTCTCGATTAGTGTAATTATGCAATTATGTAACAAGAAGCATGGGATCTTTCTTATTCTTATATAGTAGGAGAGACAGTATACAATAGGCAACAGTCCGCACTCCACCATGGACCGACACATTTATATTTAGTCTTGCGGTCCCACTCTATTATATTTACATATGACAAATTTTGGATAAATTAGAATAAGGTTGTTCATACCTTAAATTTGGACAATGAAATTGCATATGAAAAATATACATCAAATTTGTGAATGCAACATTTAGATACGAAATTATGGTTTTGACCTTACAAAATTATATTTGATTTAACAAATGTTCGGACGCGTTTTTTCTTTTTTAACTTTGAGGATACAAAAATGGGAATAGAATGTTGGAGTAAAAAAAAGTTAGAGCAATTTTATGTGCATCAAAACTGTGTACTAAAACTTGCACCAAATCACTTGCAGTTGTTGGATCTATAGGTCCCATCACTGATCCATTAACTACAGTTGATTTAGTACAATTTTTGATGTACAAATTTGATGCATAAAGAATTCCCAAAAAAGTTAATATAATTATGTGTGTATGATTTTGTGTATACTTTATATTTATAAAATTACTATACACTTTTTAAATTGCCCTGGATGATGTCATAAATAAGTGAAATTGATAGTCATTCAAAAGTTCGCTTTTATGTCATTCTCTCAATTGATTAACGGATTGTTGATTTCAATGTGGGAACAAAAATAATGATAAAATTTTAGTTTATATCATGTTTATCCACCGGAAACTTATCATTTAATGGAAATAAAATAAAATAATGATCGTTATTCTTGTACAAAGTGCAATGGCAATTTGTGACATTACATTAATTGATTGGATAAATTATGCACCTAATCTATTTCATGTCTCTTTGGTAGGTTTCAATAATATGAGCCACTTGATCTTATGGAACCACTAGAGAATATTGTTGTTGCCTGCTACCTCCACCACAAAAATAGGTTTTTTCTCTCATTTTTTTTCCTACAGTTGACATCATAAACTTTATATGTCACTCAACAGCATTAGAGTGGGTAGGAACCCTAATCTACCCACCTCATTTATTGCTCTCAAGAAAAACTTACACATGACATCATAAAACATCTAAGTAGTTAGGACTAGTATATAAAGTTACATAACTGGCATATTATAGGGAAAAGAGAGTGAGTAGTAGTTAAGAGGTTGAAGAAATAGTTAGAAGAAAAAGATTGTATATCTATTGTTGGATCATCATATTGAGGAGGCTTCACTTTCACCCCAAGTGTGTGGGATAATGATTTAGTGATGTGATCGGATCGTTTAAAGTTGCGAATTTCACTCAACACATAATTGTGCGGTATGAGAATCGTGTTGTTAAGAATTTAGTCATGTATAACTAACTAGTCTATCATAAATCACGCATAAATTGAGATATGATCAAAGATAAGATCATATGAATAATGAGATCAACCAAACTGCCATGATTAGAGACATCATTTTTGGATTCTGACTTACCTTTGTTTCTACAAGTGTGAGGTGTAATTGTGTTTCACCATAGATTATTCATGTATGCAAAACAACAAAAGGTTTGTTTGGAATTGAATTTTTTGAGGTAAAACAGAGGTTTGAAAAATGAAATGAAAAACTCAGAGTTAAAAAATTTTTTGGAACCATTTGGAGTGTTTCTAAAAGAGCCAACTTTTCCTTGGAAGTCGTTGGATAAGTCTTATTTTTTAACTTTTCTTTGATATTTATAAAATTTGTTTTTGCCCAAAAAAATAATAAAAAATTTGTCAAATAAGCCCAAGTCCAAACAAGCTAAGCTTTTTTTCCTCTAACACTAAAAAAAAAATGAGGATTTAAGCCAACTCCAAACAAACTCAAAAACAAAATGATAAATGATACAATCTTTATAGACATTCGGAATGTTGATGTAGATTTTATAGGCCATACTAATTTTTTTTAATATTTCATCTTGTCTTTCAAAACTTATTATCCGCGAAGTTAATTTATGTAGGATTCAAAGGAAAAAAAAAACTCCATCTAATCTCATATCTGATAAGTGATACAAATACTTAAATTATATTATTCAATTTACTAATATGTTCATTATTAGATGAATAGAAAAATAAAATTTTATGTAAAATTGTATTTTTATCTAGAAATCCAACCTCTCCCTTTTGAAGCCCTCTCCCATTGACTTTCATTAAACCTCTATTTGTGATTTTTAATCAATTACTAAGGGTAACCCGTATCTGAATGTATGATCCAATATGAATAATTTTGAGAGGGATGTTGAAGACTATTGAATGATTTTATTTGAGACAATCGAATAAATTTATTGAAACCTACCATGTTTTATATTACCCTGTGAATTTCGAATCTCAAATTTTGGACCAAGCATAAATTTAGAATATGTATTAAACTATTTTCACAAAATCCAACCTTTAAACCTCATTCAAATCCACATATCAACTATGCCTTTAATGCAGTAAAAGATTATCTTGGGTCCACTTAGATCCCAGAAAACTTTAACTTGAAGGGTGATGCTTCCAAAAAGCCTAAACTTTCTCATGCTAATCCATTCTTAATCATCAAGCAGAAAGAAAAAGTTTTCAATGCACATGCAACCCACAATTTGAATTTCTCACCTCTGGGGTCACACTGATACAATGTGGACCTAAGCTTGCATTCACAATTTCACATCCCCCCCCCCCCCCCCCTTCTCTCTCTCTCTCTCTCTGTCCCTCTCCTCTGCAAATTTGAAATCTGCAATAAATAGTCAAGCAGACAAACACATACACGTTTGGGGATGAATTTCAAACGGGTCCCTCGTTCTCACCCAGAAAGCTGTTGCCAATAAATAGAAGATATATCTTACACGAAAAGTCAAATGTTTGATGGAAAGAATCCTATTAAAATGAGCTAAGTTGAGAGAGGACTGCCACTTTCCATTGGTTCCCTGTTGACTACCTATAGAAAGACAAAGCCATTTGGGTGGGAAATGAGTGCTCTTTTTCTATGAAATGTGCTCATTTAGTCAAAGATTGAGGCCTGTCTTAGTGTCTTGTCTTGGCACCCAACCAATGTGAGTCCCAAAAGAGTATAGGCAGCCCATGTTTGCTTTGAATATAGGATACTGTATAGGCGGTCCATTTTTTTTTTATTAAACCTTAGCTAAATGTAGTCCAGTGATTAAGTTTGATTCCTTAGATTTCAGGTTCGATATATCTTATACCTCGTAAAGGTTGCTCATTCTTGTTCCTTAATGAACATGTTCTTAAATTAGTTTTAATTACGGTGACTGACTTAGAACTCAAGAGAGTAATTAGCATAAATCTAAATATCATGTAGCAAATATATATATATATATATATTCTCATTTTATTTTTCATTATGTAAAATAATGCAAATTTTCTACTCTATTTTCATAATTATGGTCCGATCAAAATTTTTTTTTTTTTGGGTCCAATCAAACTAAATTAGAATTACAACATTTTAAATTATGATCAAATTGGGTTGGATTTAAGATCGATTCAAACAACCTAAGCTCAGTCTCAAATTTTTGAATTTATATGATTGGTAACGTTAAATTTACAGAATTACAATTTGATTTCTTTGGGTTGCGACTTTATTTTTGACATGGAATTGAAAGTTTGATTTTTCCTTATGTTAATGACATGGTATAGTATTAAGAAAAGTGGTCGTAGGAGGTGTTGAATAGTTAGGAGTATTGAATTCGAATCTTAGACTTCACAGACCTTCACATATGCTTCTTACGAGTCATTGAAAAAGTATGATTAATCATAACTCAGCTTATCAGATCCTCTCTACAATAGTCATAATTTTATTGTTCAGATTGATTTCCTTATATATATTTTCATGCCCCAAAACTCATCCTATATCTGATTTCATTAACCTTCTAAAACCCTCCATGTTATCTGATGCTAGATAGTTTGACCATCACAATTCTCTTTTTTTTAATTCAACGGTGTGTTCGGACCAACTTACGCATACTTCGATTAATTCCTCTTTGATTAGGTCAAATTCAAGTCATTCAGACTAGAATTAGAGTATTCATGAGAAATTTATTTCTCATGACATGGTCTCTAATAATCTGTTTGGTAGGAAGGATGAAATGTAGGAATGATACAATTTTCTTCTTTTGTGTTTGGTTGGGTAGATGAAAAATAAAAATGACTAATTTTTTTTTTGTGCTGACTAAGATTAGAGGTGATAATCAACTCGTGTCGTATCAGACTCATGTTGAGTCATAAAATTATGAGTCTTTTATACTTGTTGTTCACGTGTCAGGTTATTTTCAAGTTCGTGCCATAAAATTCGTGTTGAGTTCTAGTCGTGTCATCATGTAAAGTCAAAAATATTTTATTATATATATATATATACACATATTTTATTATTGTATTTTTTATATAAAATTAATATATAATAATATATAGACAAATAAAATACATTTCAACACAAATAATCAACTTTTCATCCACTTTTCGTCCGATTTTGGAGGGATTGATTTTGATGAGTTGAAAAAAAGTTAATTCAT